TTATTCTTCATAAGTGCTTAGCACCATATAAGGAAATTTATAAAGACCTTTTAACTAGAAGCAAGCAATCTAAAATTACATACATTTTGCAAAAGGTAAAGCATGGATCTGAAGATAATGCAGAAAAATGCTCAGAGGATAAGGATAACTTGCCAAAAAGAAAACGCTCTCGGTTAATTAATAGTGTTTTTAGTGATGACAAAGAAAATATTGTTTAATTTATATTAATATGTATCACTTTAAAAAATTTTAACAAAGATATTTATCTTAATTATGAAAATATAGTAGCATGTTTTTTTAATTTTTGGAACCTAACCCTCCTTTTCGTATTAGTTCTTTGTTTCGTATAACACGGATTCGCATAACACGGCAATTTTTTGGAACGTAACTACTGTGTTATACGGGGGTTACCTGTATATTCATTACTGGAGCCTGCAATGTTCATATTCATTAACTGTTCAGCAACAGCTATGGCAACATTAAAGTGTAAAGTAACAGGTTTCAGTTTTGTGGTTTCAGTAGGTGGTGGCCCTATAGGAGTAAAAAAGAGGCTAAAAGTGTCATATGCAGCACTAAGGGCAACAAAAGAAGTCCTGAACAGTGTGTGCAAGATGCAATGTAGGAGTACACGGAAAATATATGATAAAACATTCCTGTTACTAAATTTGTATACATAAGTAAATAAAATTATAAATTTCTGTATAAAACTCGACTTTTTGGAAAATTATCTTTCTTTATTATTTATATTTTCTAAACACGTGTTTTTCATAATGAACATCAAAACTTCTTTTTATACTAAACAATTGATCCTGTTTAATAGGATTATAATAACCATTAAAGTTTCTGATAATTTTAGACAAGTAAAATTACATAAAATAAGTGTGAAAAACAACCGTGAACCTTTTGATATAAATCAGAATTGCTCTTCATTAAATATATCAATATAGTGGTACCTCAGGATATGAATGCCCCAGCATACGAAATTTTCAGGATACGACATGAAATTCGAACATATTTTTGCTCCACGATACGAACAAAAACTCACCATATGACGTTAATTAGTTTGCAGCGCCATTTTTTATTCACTTCTGTTCATTGGTCTCAGTCCGTGTGTTTGCTTCATGGTGGAAGGATCTCACTTGATAAAGGAAATCTCGAGGTATTATCAGAAAGTGACTGATTTTATTGAAAAGAAACATTCCAAAACGGTTCACACTAGCCATATTGCTGCTCAGAGTAATGACATTTGCCTAAGTCATTTTATAAACATTTTAAAAAGTAGGCAAAGCCAAACCTTTTTGGATAGATATTTTACCAAGCAACCTCTATCTAGTGAAAGTGCTGGTGGAAGTGAAGGAAAGAAAGCAAAAAGCAGTGAATAAAAATTTAAAAAATATATATAAAACAACACAAATTTTTTAATCTTTTCTAAGTTATTTTTAAGTTATTGTTACATTATGTTATGTAAGTTAAGTTTTAGTATCATTTCCCTTCTCCCTCTCTTCCGCCACCAGTTTACACCTCCACTGTCGTTGTCTATCCTCAAAGGTAAAACGCAAATAAAACTACATTTTTTTTAATCAATTATTATTCTATTATGGTTATTTATATATTTACAACTACAAAATGCAAAAGTAACAAATCATATTTATATATTTACAACTACTAAACAAAGTGTTTTCCTTATTATAGTTATTTTTTGTTTTAATGTATTACTTAGCTTTAATTTGAACATTTTTTTTTGTGTTGGAACAAATTATTTGGTTTTACATGTAATCGTATGGCAAAAAATGATTCACCTTACGACATCTTCATGATACGATCTCAGTTTCAGAACGGATTAATTTCGTATCCTGAGGTACCACTGTATGTATAAATCTTATACCAAAATGTAGAGGACAAAATTCTTCTTCAAGCTAGCTCAATGACAGTTGAATAAATAAAAACGAATTATTTTATCTATTGTCAAAGTGTAGTAAAATATTACAAACAAAATGTAGGTCATAATAAACTAATTTTTTTTGTAACTAATATTTGGTATTAACAAATATAAACCCAATAATCAAAAACTAAACAAACATGTATACAGGATTTTTTCCATAATTGTACAATAAAAATTGAATTTTTGACAATTTTTTTAAAAATAATATGTCTAGTGACCTTGAGTGTTTTCAAACTGAAGCACTAAATCCTGTAGTGCCAGTTGGGAAAAGAAAGATTAAACTAAAGGGTTATTTAAATTTATAGAAAACTAAAATAATAATATTACAAATATAAATAAATAGGAAAATCAATATTTTGATATAGATAATTAAATAAATGAATCAAAATTGACATTAGCAGCATTTTTAATTAGTCAGCTGGGTGGCAAAGATGATTAAAGCATCAGTCTACCATGCTAAAGGGCTTTGGGATCAAATCTGGGCAATTGAAAAACCCTGGAAATTTTTTTCATGTGTGGTCTGTACCAAATGTCAAGGCCCCACCCCTCACCAACGTTCCCCATTATAGGCTTGGAAAAATCCAGAATAGATGCAATTAAAAGACCTTAGTGTCCATAAAATAAAAAAACTCTTTTTTAAATTTTTTAAAAATTGTTTTAAAAAAGTTTACTAATTCAATTTTAATAAAATCATAGTTACCCATTTTTCTAAGAATTTGATGTCCTTTATTGGATTCATCAAGTCTTCGGTCAAGCGTATTGTTAGCATATGTCGAACCACTAGAAATTTAATAAATAGGTAATGTTTATTTATCTTTTACACTAATGAAAATTCATATAATTCTATTTTTAGACAAAATTATTTTTTTTTTAAATTCAAATCCAAAAGATTAAAAACAACTCAAATTATTAAACTCAATATTTTCAACAATAAAAATGAAGTTAAATGCCTTCACATGCTTTTAATAAATTTTACTTTATTGATTTGGGTAGAGAAATAATATTAACATATATTTTTTCTTCTGTAGATGTTAATCTAAACTGTTCTTGCAATGAAAAATACCACCTTATAAAGAACTCTACATTTTTAATTTTTAACCATTACAAATCCATTTATTTTCTTTCTTTAGTGTATGTCTTTATTTGTATCTCTCTATACATTAACTGTAAAAATAAAATTATTTTCTCTTTTGTAACAATCACGATAGTGGTGAGATGTGAAGGAGGACATTCTCAATTAAAATTGGTTTCATTCAGTAATTGAAAGAATGGACTTCAACAAAATTATACTTTAATTCAGCAAATAAACATAATTTTATGTGATTTCATAAGTGATGCAATTTCCATGGCTACTACTATTATTCAATATAAAAAACGTTCCTATTTTTTATATCAGGGTGTAGCAAAAGTGAAATCCCATAGGAATATCAGTATATGAATCACTTCAAATTAGCATTAAAATCAGTGTATGAAAACTGACAAAGGTGAATCTAGATGCATGATCAAATCAATATATTTCTAATTATCATCATCATTTTCAGACTGATATACCATGACAGTTGTGTTTTTTTTTTGTTAATTTAACCTTTCAACAGTGGACTAGTCGGATATGGTTCTACCCCCAATAATGGAGAATAAACATGGATAATTTTTAAAGTATTTTTCCATGCATTTTTTCTCATTACTGTTTCAGAAAACAATTTTGTAAACAGTTATGTCTAGTAAAGAAAAGTCTTTTTTTATTGTTACATAATTCATTTTTTATGTAAATTTTTTCTGCAGTAGTTTTAGGCTAGTTTTTAGCAATAAACCCCCAAAAGAATTTGACAACTATAGTTGTCCCTCACCACTGCCACACGATCGCCCTTGACAACTATAGTCATCATTCACTGCTGAGTGATTAATAAAGCTTATTTTTACATATGCAAAGGATAACATTCGGTTGGAGATATTTTTCATGCTAAACATTCTGACAGGCCAACAATTGAACATAAAACTGTTGGCAAAAACTTTGTACATTTTTGAATATTTGATATAATTCACATATAGGTTGAGAATCATTTATCGAAAATGCTTGGAATCTGAAGTGTTTCAGATGGCAGATATTTGCATCTGGTTATATTTAATCTAGAATAGTCTAATTTGACTTTTTTTCATATGTCTTTTTTTAAAGGGATTTTTATTACTTTTTGATAAAACAAAAAATTTTCACATCATTGAGAATATGTTTTTTAAATACACCTACTGTAATGTCAATAGACATATTAAAATAATTTTAGATATATTCTCATAGAGGTATTAACTGATCTGTTGGAAAGAATGGGTATTTGTTTAAATTTTGAATGTTTTCTGGTAAATACAGTAGAGCATCAATTATCCAATTCAATTGGGGACTCAGGTTGGTTGGATAACCGAAAAGAAGGAAAATATACATTATTAGTATAGTATATTAGGATATTAGTATATCCCATGTAATTAGTTTATTAGTATATCGCTATTAACCAACTTTGCATTGAATTTTCATCGATGTTTAGCCTAACAAATTTTTTTTAAAAATAATAATCGTCGCTATTGTATCATTAAAAATTATTTAAAAATTATTTTATTGCTCATGAAACAAACAACCACTCATAATTAGAAAATTAAGTCTCGTTTAAATNATACAATATATATATTTGCTTTAATAGATTATAAGAAACTTACTAACAAAACAAATTTGAGTGCTTTGGGATCAATCTCAAAATGTTAAAATAATAATATATTTGTGTTTTAAATAATTGCATTATGTCATGTTAATAAAAAAATAAAACTTTTGTTGTTAAATATTAATTCTTTTTTATTATGATTAATTCAAAATAAATACAAAAATAAAATCAAGCTATGTTTTAAAAATGTTTTGTATTTAGACTATCTAATAAATTTTTTGATCTACCTTAAGTTTCCTTAACAACTTAGAATATAATTATTTTTTTTTAAATAGCAACTTATTTTTGCTTCATAATTAAACAAACCAATGCACTTTTATCTTTTGATAATTAGAAACCATGTCATAATTTTTATTTGTTGCTTAGACACTAACTGAACTAAAATAAAAAATGAAGGAATGACAAGTGTTTGAATTTATTACACTGCACAGTATCTAAGCAACAAGTATTTTTATCTGTTAAACAATAACAAATAAAATGTGATACGTTAACCATGTTAACATATCACATTTTATTTGTTTACATTATTTATTACAGTGGTACCTCAGGTTACGAACGCCCCAACATACGAAATTTTCAGGATACGACATGAAATTTGAACATATTTTTGCTCCACGATACGAACAAAAACTCACCATACGACGTTACATTAGTTTGCACTTTTCATTTGTTTTTCTTACTACAGTTATTTTTTTTAATGTATTACTTGGCTTTAATTTGAGTATGTTTTTCGCGTTGGAACGAATTACCTGTATTTGGTTTTACATGTAATCGTATGGGAAAAGATGATCCACCTTACGACATTTTCATGATACGATCTCAGTTTCGGAACGGATTAATTTTGTATCCTGAGGTACCACTGTAATTACAATTCACTGATACAATGAAAATTTGATTTAACTCTGTCTGAAATTAATATTTAACTCTATTTTCATTCTAAATGAAAACAGAGTTAAACCTAATTATTAAAACTGCTAGAATTTAAAAATATTGAAAAACTTAAATCATTTTTTTTCCAATTGGCATTAGTACTATAAAATAAATATCATGGAGAAATGATATCATAAATGTCAAACAGCTAGTTGACTAAAATATATCAAACATAATACTGAAATTTGAATTTATTTATTTTGAATAAATAATAATCTGTTAGATATAGATTTCTGATAGCCAATAAAATATTTTTTATAGTTCAAATATAAAGTCAAATGCAAAGGAGTTCATCCTCTAATTCTGAATCACTAAGTTCACATTGTGTAAGGATTACTGGGAGTATATAGTTAATTTTTTTAAGGGTTTGAAAGTATAATGCACATAGCTATTATGAGAAAATGAACAGGAATTGCTTAAAAAACTCAAATAATTTATGATAATGCAATCTACACCATGAATAACAGCATGTATTTAAGGAAGGTTGTAGAAAATCTGTAGCAGGGTTGTTTTCAAGCTGATAATGTAAAATGTTTTTAACCTGATAAGAAACTTCAGGAAAGCCACTTTCTAAAGATCTAAGATGACATATCTTATTGAAGCATAAAGAAAGCCAAAGATTTAAAATGTCTATGTCTACAGATGAGTCAATTATAGATGTTAAATATACTGGAAATCTAGAACAAAACAATGTAGAGGCTGAAAACAAATTCTGAATCTTACAGACTATAGAAGATTATGTTCATACATTTGTATAAACTAAAATGTAACTAAATCAAATTTAGTAAATTGGCCTACAACAAAACTAGGAAAAATAGTACATATATACACAATGCAGAGATTTATCAAAAAATTAGGCCATAGTTTTTATCATGCCAAAGAAAAACTATTTCTTACTGTGGTGAATAAATGTTGTTACCTGGCTTAGGCAAAAAGTGTCAGAAAGTAGCCTGTGAAAAAGTGTGAGCAAATTTTATGTTCAGACAAATCATGTTTCCAGATTGTTTTTCTCAAGTGGTTCAAAGAAAGAGCCACTTCTATTGGAGTTTGGGATGCATTCAACAAATGGCTTTGGGAAACTATTTTTATCATAATACCACCACAGCTCAAGACTACATTGATATCATATAGGGCAGGTTCGTTCCCCAGAAAGCTTACACCTACCATGAAGACAGTATCAGACAGATTGGTATGGTTTCTTACTTTAAAGCAGGAGTGTCCAACCTGCGGCCCACATGTGGCCCAAGGCACATTCCAATGTGGCCCAATAAACGTATAAACAAAACCGACAAATTTTTTTATTATTTATTTATTTATTTCAATGGCATAAACCTCAAAAAATAAGTTTCAGAAATTATTTTATTGCTCATGAAACAAACAACCACTCATAATTAGAAAATTAAGTCTCGTTTAAATACTGGCCTCCCTTCAATGGTCGAGCCATTGTTGCCAGCTAAAACACGCAAAAATTTAACAAAAATAATATTAAAATAGCCAAGACATAGCCAAATATTGTAATGCCACATCACTAGCGGACATTTGAAATTTGCCGACTAGTCACATCGGTTAACCGACCGTTCTCGGTCGGTTAACCGATGTGATGGTTAATCAGGGGTCGGATAATCGATGCTCTACTGTACATTCATATGTTAATAAAGAAAATTTTAAAAATTGAAATCAAACTACATTCATGGAATATGAAAAAGTCATTTGGCAGAAAGGGCTAACATGCCATGTCAGTATTCAAAAATTTTTGATTTTAAAGATTTTTGGTTTTTGAAGTTTTGGATAAAGGATTCTCAACCTATAATATATTGTCTATGAAACAGGATTTTTGATGCTCCCTGTCATATTCAGTCGTGTTTATCACCAATTTTTCTTTTATTAAGCATACTCACCAGTTATACACAGGATGTATTTATTCTTATATAACTTATGATATTTATTTACTAGAATATTGACACTATCATAATATTTAATCAAAGTATAAACAAAAATGAAAATAATTTACAAGAATGACGGAGGAGTAGGGCTTCTTTCGGGCGACCTTCGATGTGGAGGCGATAAATGTTCTGCTCTAGGTGGAGAATGAGACTTGGATCTGGATTTGGATCTTGATCTCGACCTAGATCTTGATCTATGTCTTAACGGTGGCGTACGAGATCGCGATCTAGACCTTGATTTGGAACGACTTCTACCCCTACTATGACTACGACTGCGACTTTTGCTTCTGCTACGATCTTTCATCATTCTTGGTGGAGGACTGAAATACATAAGTTGCCCAATTACGACATTTTTAATTATATTAATCAACAGAAAAATAAAATTAAAAAATAAATAAATAAATTTATTAAAACCTATTAAAAGAATAAATCCATATAACAGTTACTTAATTGAGTCTAATTTTTAAAACTTAAAATAAAAATCTTTTATTAAATTATTTAAAAGATACCACAAAAATACAATATAAATATTTGCTTTAATAGATTATAAGAAACTTACTAACAAAACAAATTTGAGTGCTTTGGGATCAATCTCAAAATGTTAAAATAATAATATATTTGTGTTTTAAATAATTGCATTATGTCATGTTAATAAAAAAATAAAACTTTTGTTGTTAAATATTAATTCTTTTTTATTATGATTAATTCAAAATAAATACAAAAATAAAATCAAGCTATGTTTTAANTATATATATATACTTAAAGAAATTACCTTTTACTTTCTCGATATCTCCTCCTCTGTGGTGACTTTGATCTATTTTGAAACATAACTGCAGGAGGCGGGGGAGACGGGGACGGTGAATGTGTAGGTCCAAAATCACATTTATAAGACGATTCTTGACTGTCCTCTTCACTTATTTCTGTAAACTCTTGTCGTTTCTTTCTAGCTTGGGCTTTAGCTTTAAAAAATTCATAAAGTCCTAATTGTTCCCAACCTTCACTACTGCAAATGTTACAATTAAAAATAATAATTAATATATTAAACCAAATACACTTATTTTCAAGAACTTTCTATCTGTGGAAATACAGTTTTTACAAATAAAGTTTACTATTTAGTAAAATCAGAAAATCATATTTATAACATGAGATTCTGATAAATAAAATACAGTATATAACAAATGATATGATAGCTCTTGTTTTGATTCAAAATAAAAACCATAAATCTGTGAATATAAGATTTAAAAAGATTAAAATAAAATGTAAACTTTAACAAAAGAAAAATACATTTCTGAGTAATTACATCCTAAGCTAAATACTATACTGTAGTTTAGTTTTTAGTGTAATTTCCTGTTTTTTTAATAAGGATAAATATTTTCTATTATGCATATTATTAATATTGAAAAAGCTACAAGAAATGTTTAAACCATTTACCAAAAACTAATTTCATTATTAAATAACATCATAATTATTAAACATAATTTCTCTCTTATAAAAACCAAAATATACACAATTTATTAAATTTCACTAAATTCTGAAAAGAGTGAAAATTCTCTTAAAGTATTGAACTCTAATAAATTTTAGGCATGTATAAAAAAAAAAGCTATGTAATCCATTATTATGTTAGTAGATCACATTCAACGTAAAATATAAAATTATTATCAAAATCGAACTAAATAAAATAATCTAGAAACAGATAAAATAATTTAATATAAATAAAATGTTTTGCTCCAGGAATATGTACTTTATATTTTATAATTATCCTGATTAATATTATTTTCTAATTTATTTTAAAATTACTTGAAAAAATTAACTATTTTTTTTTTTTTTATAAAAGTTAATTAAAGTGAACAATTATTCAATGTGGCATCACCATCATGGCAGGCTGCAATTTTTAATAATATTTTTTAAAATTTATTTAATTTAAAATATATGCTCTCCACCTCAAATTAGTCTTGCCCCTGTACTTCATACTTTTCCTGTTGTAGTAGTGTCATCTGTCTCTTAACTCCTGTCAGGGGAAAAGATTTGAATAAAAATAATATGCCTTCTGGTTTGCATCAGAAGTTTGTATATAGTTAATCAGGAGGCCTCTTTCCCCCAAGGTTATCTGGTATTGACTTTCATTTATCTAACTCCGTTCTTGAGATTAAGGAAGGAGAGATAGGCAGACAGCCAACAGTGGGAATATATAGGTCTGCAATTTTTTCAAATTGCAGCCCAATTATTAATGAAAAATTCCATAAGATTTGACAAACTTTATCATCTCAATGATATGGCTTAGCAAATTCAAAATTAACTAACCTGTTACGTGGTCTTTCATGACTTGGAGGACTATAAAATAATTCAACAGCTGCCAGAAGACGTTCACTTGGTGGTGCTGGAGGTGGTAACCGAATATCATCAGGCTCTAATGGAACATAGTCACATTCCTCAAGCTATTTAAATAAAATTAATTTAAATTAATGAATGATATAATATAACAATTAGCAAAATTGTAAATGCTATTCTATAATAACTATTTGAATTTAATAGTACTATTAAATTCAAATTACAAATATATATTTGGAGATATTCTGGAAAAAGATAAAAGTTTCCTTTAGAACATTACAGCATTTTTTAAAATAAATTATACAAGTTAACTTCAAAAAGTTCCTGGAGTTGTTTTGTTACTCAAAAGTACAGTGATACCCCGAACTTACACGATAGGTGGGACCGAACGATAACCGCATAAGTCGAATTCGTGTAAGTCCGGTATAATTTCGCAATTTGTGTAAAATCCAAGTCGGATGTATGTAAGCTAATGTTCTCGTTAATCTTATCTCGTCTTTTGATTCATTCACAATTACAAGAAATCACCATGTAGAGTCTCTCAAGTCTCCGTAGATATAACAAACAGAAATAAATAACACAAAATAAATTGTAACTGTGCGACACATCCGAACATGTAAGCTGAACAATAGTGTGGGGGGAGTGAGTAATCAAGAGCTGTGTGCCACTCAAACAAAAGACGAATCCACAAGATTTGAAAATTGCGTAACTCTGGATTCGTGTAAGTCGCGGTATAACTGTATGTGTACAATTGACAAATCAAGCAATGTGTCCTTCAAAGTACTGTCCTTCAGCAAGCACACACTTTTGCTAATGCTGGTATAGCTGCTGAAAACATTCTTAGAAGCTGTCTCACGACAGCACCTGCAATGCAGATGTCATACTCTGTATAACCTCATCCACGTTCTTGAAGTGGCATCCCTTTATGGCATATTTCAACCTGGAGAAAAGGTAGAAATTGCATGAGGTCCACTGTGAGCATTTGTGACGGACCTCATGCAAGAAAGCTTTCAATTGATCATGCAGAATGGAATGAGAACTTCCAACCAAAATTCCTGTTGTCTTGGGGCGATCTGCTCAAATGATTGCTGTCTATCTGACCTCACAATCTTGCATACAATTGACACTTTCTCCTCAGACATTGATGTTGATGGACAGCCACTTTGCAAATCATCAACAATACTTTCTCATCTCTGTTCTTGACAATCATAAACTTGAGAATTCATGGCAGATTCAGCATAGATTGGGGGAAAACCCTATGAATTGTTGCAGCATCTTCAAGACTCGGTTTTTTCTCCAATAACACACAAAATTTAATATTTGCACGTTGTTCTTCCACAGACATTTCACCAGACTCCATTTCACGATGTCTCACTAACACAACCTTCAGTGAATGATAACTGTTGTCATCTCTGCAGTGAGTATGGACTTGTTTGAACACGTTTCTCTATTCCTGACATGTTTAACAAGACATGCATTACACATTCCCATTTTCATTGCTTTTAATTGACTAACCCAGCATAATTCTGGGAACTTTTTGAAGCTATCTTGTATAAACAATTTGTAATTAAAATCATAAAACTACTGTATTAATATTCACTTTCATATTTTGATTTCAATTCAATTCATAATATAATTAATACATTTTGTGAGATCCCTTAATTTATTGCAGACGGATGAGCCCATTTTATAGCATCAGGATGATTAACATCTGCCAAATTTTAGAGAACAGTCAAACTTGATTCCAGTCAAACTTGATTCCAGGACTATTGAGAACTTGTATGCGACAAAGTAAAAATTCCCAGTTCTCTTCCTTGATAGCTCTGCTTGGTTCACATATGTGAGTGTGAACCTCTTTTTGCAAGTACATGACCATAGATGAAGGAGGAGACAAAGAGACTAGTCTTTCAAAATTTTTACAAAAAGAAATTTTTATACACATGAAAGGTATACAGGGCATCCAAAAAAGGAGAGATTATAAAAAGTATTAGGTAAGGTACTAAAAAAAATTAACATATATGGTTATCAAGTAATCCACATTACAAAGGTGTAAGGAATCAAGTCCAAGCATTATTTTCATTTACTTTTATTTTGCTTTTTATTATATTTTTGTTTGGGGTTTATGTTTTGTTAAGACAAAGGTTTCCTCACCATTCACCTTAGAAACTTAAAAATAGAAGAGAAACCAACTCACCAACGAGAGAAAAGCGCCATAGAAAAAACTCACGCACACTTGCGCTTCCGAGTGGACAAAAATAAGTCTGCACCGAGAAAAGGGGGAAGACCCCATAAGCACAACTTAGGGACTCGCTAAACCTTAAAGAATAAAAACATCCCGAAAATTGTCAAAAAAGAATAATGTAAAAGGTTAGCGAGTATTGACGAAAAATAGGCTGCCAGACAAATAGAAAAATTTTATTGTTAGCAAATAAGTATGTAAATGAGGGGAGTGATCGCATTCAGAGTTGTGATGTCACCTTACAGTATAAAGTCCGAACCTCAAGTGAAAACAGACGAGGTGAGCTTTGTAGCAGCAAATGAAAGAGAGGTGTCCGATAAGATAAAATAGTTCCAAGGCACTTTTGAAGTTATTCGATTTGTGGATCGAAGATTAGAGAAAGTCTTGAGAGTTGAGGAAAGGGGTTTTAGTATATTGAGGTGACGATTAGGATCTTTAATTCATAATAATTACTGTATATAAATTAAGTCTTTGAAATTTTGTCGAATTCCAAAGGGGAATAAAATTAAGTTAGAAAATAGATTGATTTGAGTTTTGTTGGGTTGATTCTTATTGACTTTCATTGAATAAATTGTTATTTGAATTTTACTAAATTTTGTATATAGTTTATTACTAGAACTTTTATTAAATATTTGATTTTTGTTATTGACAAATTTGGTCATTATTTAATTTGGTGCACGCTTAAAGTCCAGGCCTGGCACACTAACGCGAATCTGCATAAAGTACCCGTTAGGGAATGGCTATTTCCGGCACACAGTCATGTCAATAATCGTTGGAAAAGTCGGAAAAATAATATAATACTTTACAAAGACACATGGTGCTATTGTTGCTACAGGTAGAATTTTTAAAAGAAATTTTTCCTAACTGACTAACTGATAGTTGGGTGAGATGGATACATTAATGTTTGTATAAGTATCCTGATGTTTTATGCAATTTTTCTGACGAATCTAGCCATCATTTCTAAATGTCGCAATTTCAATTTCACTGAGTACAAGTACACACTACAGAATCAAAAAGTGTCCTATAAACTAAGGATGCACCAATAAGCAAAATGGCCGATTACCGATTAATCGGCCATGCATTATCGGCCGATACCGATTAATCGGCAATGCATTATCGGCCGATTAGTAATAATAATTTATTGCATTAATAGTGTGAGATCCTGGAGTTAATTATACAGTTAATTATAATGTGGAAAAAACCCATTTTTCTCCACCTGGTATTTCCATCTCCCTCGGGTCAGGTAAACAAGAGACGATCGAATATCCTCGCAAAATCAACAATCTCTTCCTTTGTTTCTAAAATAAATCTCAACACTTAATTGTTGACGCATGGAAACTTCGACATTGTTTAAAAAGCTGAAGTGTTTCTGTGTTTAACAGAAACAAAATATATTTCTTTAACCGCTGATATTTGGACAGCAACTACAAACAATTCTCCTTTTTTAAGTGTAACAGCCCACTGGTTGAAGGATGATTTTCAGCAGGAAAGAGCTGTTTTGCAAATTGTTTCCTTTGAAGGTTCCCACACAGCTACACGAATCAGTGAACAGTTAAAAATTGTTCTTGAACAGTATAAGTTGACAAGTGATAAGATATTCTTAGTACTAAGAGATTCTGCAGCAAATCTGGTAGCTGGAATTAGGAATTGCAACTTAGAAGCATTATCATGCTTTATACATACGCTGCAGCTGACACTAAACGAATGCATATTTTCTAAACAAGATGTGAAAACTATAATCACAGTTAATAGAAATATTGTCACACATTTTAATCATTCTGCTGTAGCTGTAATCAAATTGGAAGATTTGCAAGAAAAGTTAGGTTTGCAGAAACACAAATTAATTCAAGATGTTCCTACTCGCTGGAATTCTACATACTACATGTTGGAACAGCAAAAGGCCCTTGTCACATATGCTATAGATAATAAAATTCCTACGTTGAGCCCATATCAGTGGTCTCTCGTTGAAAAAATTGTTCTACTTGTAAAACCATTCAAAGAAATTACTGTGGAAAGCCAGCAAACGAGAAGCCACTTCATCTTCAATAATTCCCACAATAGAGACTCTGAAATTATTCTTATCAAAAGCAAAGATCAGTAGTTCCTTTAGTGGCATTAATACCACAACAGAAGAACTAGAAAATCCAATAAAAAAAGATTTTCAGCATATATAGAAAACAAGTCTTTATGCTTGTCATTTTTATTAGATTCAAAATGAAATTTCAAAAAGAGGATATGCTAGAGGAAATCTCAATAAGAATTAAATTCTGAAGCTTCTACTTCTGGAGGTGATCAAGATGGAGGTGAATTTCTAAGTTTTTCTGATTTATTTGATGAATTAGCTTCTGGTAAACGAAAGAATGAAGAATAGCATGTTTTTAAAAAAAAAAAAAAAAAACGAAAGAGACGAACAAACGTTTCGATCAAGAATTAGAAACATATTTACATTTATCCCTAATTTGAGCAAAATAGCTATGAAATATTTAAGTGCCTCAGCATCTTCCATTGAAAGTGAAAAAATTTTCAGCACTGGAGGTAACATTTATGAGCCGGCAAAAAATAGGTTATGCCCTGAAAATGATGAAATTCTCATGTTTTTGCATTACAATTTAAGGGTTTTACAGTTTAAATATTAAATTTTTATTTGTTTTATATGTTTAAACTTTAAACTTATGAAACAAATAAAAATTTAATTTTTCTTCTTAACCTATTCAATACTTTTTCTTATGTAAAGTTTAAACTTTATATTATACGTTATATTATACTTATAATATGTATCGATAAAAGGAATAATTTGATTAGTAAAATTTTTTTAATATTCAGTTTGTCATGTAATAAATAATAAATATATAACAGAAATTTATTAGTTTTTATTACTAGCATTGTACGTAACATTCTAACAAAAATACCAAAATGTAAAATTGGCCGATTATCGAAACCGATTAATCGGGGGGAATGGCCGATACCGATTAATCGGCTAAGTGGCCGATACGGCTGATTACCGATTACTTACTGATTAATCGGTGCACCCTTACTATAAACATAGCCCTTCAAATGCATTGTTTCAGTGCTAGAAGGGTTGAAAGTTCAGATACTGCTGTGCAGCACTGTCAACTGCATAGAATAACCTCAATCTCACTGTCCTTCAGCTTTTTATCTTGAAAACTTTATGTTTTGCAAAAACATAAGGTCTTCTACTCGACATGAAATAGATTGTCTTTCAACTGTTTTCAAATAATTCTTGGCATTTTTGAACACATTCAAGGTGTAGTTGAGTTTTTTGTCCAGAGAACTCCAGAGAGCATCATGATGACCAATTCTCCTATTAATTAAAAAAAAAAATAAGATCCTTTTTCATTTCTTCACACTTTACTACAACACAAAACCTCAATCTTGAATCAATCAAAAACCTCTTAAGAGGCAGCAGCAGAGCAGCATCTTAAGAAGTAGCTAGCCTGAACCTTTAATCCTTCTTGTACTGAATCAATGCATTTGAAGGGCGGGCTATGTTTAGAAGACACTTTTGGATCCCATAGCTTGAACACAATATAAAATATTGCAACTTCCTCGCAAAAACACCCAGTACATGTCATATTCAATTTTAAAATGAAATTTATAATTCTGTAACAGAAAACTGTATTTAAATATAAACATTGATATTGTGAGAATGCAAGGTATAAAAAGTTAATTATTTTTCATCTATTTTTATCTATTTGTTGAACCTATATTTTTATTTCTTGTTAATTTACATATTGTTTAACTTAAAATAATCATTGGTGTCTGTAAAACAGCTAAGATAATTAAAAATGCAGCTAAATAAGTTTATATAAATGTTTGTGAAAATATAAAACGTACCTTAATAATAGGAACCATTAATCCAGCAGGCAAATCATAATATGGCACAGAAGGTTGAAGAGTATCTTTGGAATCTAAAGGAATTGGTTGTGATAATGGTACATCATTATTTAATGGATGGTAATTTTGGATAGGTTGTGCCATATCAACAATATTTACTGTTGTCAAATCTAAAAAAGAAATGATCAAAATATTCATTCATAATATCAATATACGACATCATTATAAAGCAAAAAATTTTCAATAAGCATTTAAAGTTTAAAAAACTTCAACAAATACAGGAATCACCCATTTAACATCAATAATCCATTAATAAAAATTAGATATTCTGCTTGAAATGCTAACCAGGAGTCTGTTTTTCATGGTTTTAAATGGGAAAAATTATAACGCATTACAATGTCAAAATCTCCTAATCAATATCTGAATACACAACTAAAACACAGTAAAATGCCTATATATGAATAACAAACTATCATGCCTTTTATATATTAGAATGTAAAATACTTAAAACATCCCTTTTTGATTATCAAATAATTAATTATAATAAAAAAAAGCAACTGTTGTTAACAAATAGTTGCTTTATATGCATGCAACATTATAATATGGTATGCAAACTATGAAACATTACATTTCTGGTAAAGCATGGTAAATAATACACAGCAATAAAATTTGTTTTAAAAAATAGACAAAAATTTACAATAAAAAAAGGTAATTTCCTTTAATAAGCTGTTACTACCGTGTTTCCCCAAAAATAAGACATCCGCAGAAAATAAGACCTAGCACAGATTTTGCTGAATTGCAAAATATAAGACCTCCCCCTGAAAGTAAGACCTAGCGAAGTTTTTTTTTAGTCGTAACGGTCATCAACAGATAGTTGAAAGTGGCCGTTGGCTTTTTGAAAGTACAGTCACTGATTGGTCAGCAGACAATTACGCCACGCAGCATGATTTGTATAAGACTATGGCTTGGGAATCACAGATTTGCATAACGTTACGGCTAGTGATGGCTAACTGGTCGGCCGGGAATCATGCCACATGACATTTGCATAGTGCTACGGTTCAGTAAGCACTAATTGGTCATCGAGTTCAATGTTGACGCTATAAAAAGGCAACAGTTCGATATACGTCACTCTCGTCTAAGTTCAACTTGGGAATTTTTTTGTTCAATAATAAATATGAATTCTTCTTCTTGGAAAAAATAAGACATTCCCTGAAAATAAGACCTAGCGCCTTTTTCAGAGCAAAAATTAATATAAGACACTGTCTTATTTTCGGGGAAACATGGTAAGAGAGGTGAAGAATTGAAACTTGACATAAATTGTGGTGCGCTTTTCCAAATATGTACGTGATTCTGACATTCTATCAGTTGCATTTGGAATGTAAATTGAGACTTTTCCCACATGTTTTGTTTAAAATGTATTGAGTTTTTCATACATACTTATATAGAAATAATTTTTTTAGAGATGAATATAATCTATAAAGTTTGGACATTAAAAATCACAAAATATTCTAGAGGGAAAACATTAAGTAGATGGTTCCACAGGATATGCTCAATACTTTCATCTTTCAATATAGATGTTTTCACTACATTATGAGACTATATAAAGTAAGTTTCATTCACAAAATTGTGAAATTCACATAATTAATTTCGGTAAATACTAAACATTTCTAAATTTGTACTGACAGAGAAGTTTGGACTAAAATTGTAAAACAAACTCTTAAAATAATCATGAAGAATGACTTGATCACTGCTGTGTTATTGTAAATGAGCAATACCTTAAACTAAGATTTTTGAGAAAATATTTTGGATGAATTGCTACAGAATTACTATTAATCCAGTGATCATTGCTCTATTAAAATTATTATTCTGTAGAAATTCATACAATATTAAGAAAAAATCTCAAACTTTTAACAGGAACTTTTCTCAGTTCTGATAACTTTTATAATAAATTTCAACAGTCTCAATATTTTAAGAGAATTGGCATTACTATTCCCTTTCTATAGAAAAGGATACTATTCTTATGAAACCAACCATACATAGGCACTGTTTTCTTCTGAAATCTTAATATGAGGTATAGGTTTTCCTCACCTCTCTTCAGTATATAAAATGATATCTGATAATACAATGGAACCTATAAAAATAGAAATTTGGCTTTTAAAATTTTTTCAAACATGTCTATGTGTGGTTGGCTTCATAAGAATACTATCTTTTTTCTAGAGAAATATAGCAGATAGTATAAAATCCTTAGATTATCTCTTTCTCTGATCCTTTAACTTTTAAACTGGAGAAAATATAAACTTTCTTCAAGAACCAATAAAGTAGTACACTTAAAAAAAATATTTTATGACAAACATTATCTTGTTTACAACTACAGCATAATTTATCTATTAATAAATATAAATTTCATAAATACAAATGAATCACCAATTTAATTAAATACAGAATTTTCTTTTGTGATTATGACTATTAAAAATGATTTGTTTTATAACATTATTATATTCCAGAATTATGCAACTCATCAAAATCATTTAACATGTATCATTAAAAACAAATTACATTTACAAATGTTTAATGAATATTACATCTTTGAATTATATAATATATTTTTTAAAATAATTGAGCTTACTTACTTGGAGCCATACTACTATGTGGTTGAGTAAAATTTTGTGGTGGAGGCTGTGAAAAATGTTGTGGTATTTGACCAAAATTTGGTGGTGGATGTATATATGTAGGTGGAGGTTGGTTGAAATTTGGAGGAGGAGGATAATGTGGACCTCCAAACTGAGGTGGTGGTGGACCATTTGTCATATGGCCTTGATGAGATGTAGGTGGTGGTTGTACTTGATTATTAAATGGAGGTGTAACCATACCACCTGGATGTACAAGAGTGTTATTTGAAGACATTGGAATATTTTGTGGCATTGCTGGCGTTGATCCTTGACCTGAAAAAATAAAAATAACATTAAAAAGTTACACAAAATATTTAATTTAAAAAATTATATTTTTCAAATTTTTTATTTATGCATAAAGTTAATAAGGTTATTAAAATTTAGAATTTTTTTTTCAGCACGTGCTCAGAGCTTATAGTCCTATTCAATTGTTGTATTTCTTAAACTTTGAAGTAGTTAATCAATTCCTTCAAGAAACAGATGAAAAAATAATAGTACAATTCACGTTATACAAATAAATCATAAACATTAAAGTATAAATAAGTTCCAAAATAATTAATAATTATTATAAATTAATAATAAATAAAAATTTTATTAGTAAATAATCAAAAATACTGCCATTTTAAGGTAATCAAAGTTGTACAAGAGTTACTCTGAAAGTTTTGCAATACAAGAAAACCATTCGTGATGAATTTAAGTGTTTTTTTTTTTTAATAATAAAGTTCATATGACACATTATGCATAAACAAATTTTATCAATCTCTTTTAATCTAAATGAGACAGACTCCCTTTCTAATATTAACAATGGAACTTTCTAGAGAAGCAGTTTGTACAATGATTTACTATGATTTTTGTGATAGACTAAATATTAAAGACTGCTATAAACAATTGAAATTGGCTTTTGGGAATGATGCTACATCCTTTACTACTGTGTTCAGGTGGTACAAAAAATTTCAGAGGTATCATACTTCCTTCCATGATGAACCCATGTGAAGGGCAACCATGAACAGCAATGACTCTTAAAAATGTAACTACTGTCCAATGTATGATTGCATAAGACCAAAGATGTACTGATACCTATGAAATGGTACAGGAGAAACTACAGATTGGAGTCTCTGCAGTTGCAGACATTCTGCATAAGGAGTTATGTTTAAAAAAGTAGTGTCTTGATCAGTTAACAGATTTCCAAGTCAGAGCATGTCAGAATCTCTAAAAAAACTCTGGAAATATTGAATCAAGGTGGACACCAAATTACTTCCAAGATAGTCATAGGTGATAAGACATACACACCATTTTATAACTATCTCACATGTCAAAAAAGTCAGTATGGATCCATAAAAATGATCCAATTCTAACAACTGTAAAAAGGCAAAGAGCAATAAAAAAATAATTTTGCATCATGATAATCATTCAACATCCACCATATTAATCAGATTTGGCATTGTGTGACTTCTGGCTATTTTTTTAATTTCAAAAACATTTGAGGAGCTGCAAATTTAACACAGAGGATGAAACTGAAACTTCCTTAATACAGTACCACCATGGGCAAATGCGGCTCTTTTTGAGTTATATGCAGCTCTTGCTTAAAGTGTTAATTTCAGCTTTTAATTATTATTTTTACAATTTTATTTCCACAATTTTGTGAAAATATGTTTATTAAAAAAATTCAATATTTGTTTTATATAATATTTATATTATATAATAAAATCGCGGTACAGAACTGCAGTACAAAATAATAAAAAGTACAGAACTGCGGCTCCCATGCATTTTGCAAAACCTACATTTCAGCTCTCACTGACCTCTTGCTTGCCCACCCCTGATATAGTACTGTAAGGTCTCTTTTTATGCGGATTATTTTTATGCGATTTTGAAGTTGTGCAGTTTGTATTTCATCCAAAAATTTCTTGGACAAACATACATATAGGCTTGTTTAAGAAGCCCGCGTATAGACAGTCTCCAAAAATCGTAGAACGCTCAAAGCTCACTCCATTTGTTCCACTGACATATAACGTTTATGGATGTAAAGGACAGCTAGATCTACCTTAATCGCTTTAGTTCCTAGCAATTTTTGATATAAATGTAATTAAACATAAAAAATACTTAAAACTGAAAAAAAAGAAAGAAATGCGTTAATTTTGAAGAAAAAGCTTCAAAGTTTAACTTCCTTTGTCTCGCCCTTCTGTGAAATTTAACACCGATGAGTCATTGTTTACACATCTGGATGACCTTGAACACAGCTGGAGTTGGATTTCCCGGGGCATTCTCATAGACGTCGCGGGAGGACAAGGGTTTAAAGTAGGGTGAACACTAGCTGGCCGTATATTTTTAAATATTTTTAAAAAATTTGGAGACTTAAAAAACATTCCAAAAATTCAAAAAAAAAATTCCAAAATGGCCTTAAGGACCGTGTTTTATGAAACGCTATGTAACCTGCCCGAGTTAACTCAGGCGAGGAACTAAAGGGGTTTTAATTAACTCTTCACATCCAGATGTCAGTGATTTGTTTTTAGAGTGAGCTTTTGCAATTCGGGGATTCCCCTTGTACATGATACCATCGACAAGTCGCTATTACATCATTCTGAGTTTCGCATTGAAAGGTATAAACTGTAATTGTTTTGAAATTAAATTTTATTTTAGCGGTGTTTTGTTCATTTTTATAATAAGTAGTTGTTTTGGTTTTATGCAATTTTAGAAAATTACGGAACGTATCCCTACTTTTTCAAGGCAAGTAAAGTCTTTTTTTATGCGAATTTTTTATATGCGCTTTTCTGTAGAACGTATCCACCGCAAAAAACGAGACCTTACAGTATTTAAAATTCCAGAAAATGAATGGTGTCATGCTTTTTATCTTTGGAAAGAGCAACTACATAAGTGCATTTTTAGCTAGAGGAAAGTGCTTTGAACATAAATAAAAAATATTTTGTTTAAGTCCTTATACTATTCCTGTATTGCAAAACTTTCAGAGTCACCTCTTTATTTGAAAACTAGAATTTTTTTGCTTAAATTCAGGCTCAGATAATAATAATATCTATAATTATTTTCTCACAGTACAATATTTTAAATTGATGGCATTTCTTATTTCAATAATTCATCCAGCATAATTTGTATGCCTGTTAGTTTTATCAATACTGTCCTTAACAACAGAGAGCATATGAGTAAAGTACGAAATAATAGCAATTTAAACTATTATTGTAAACAAGTAACAATTAAAACAATGGATAATTAACATTTATAATACTACTTAAGACTGACAGCCTAAAATGACAGCTTAAAAATTCCTGTTTACCTAAAGATAATTGATGACTCCAGTCAACTGACATCATCTAATGACAACAACACTAACTAACACAAATAGATAAAAATATGAGTAATCTGTGTTTTTAAGTATCCTTTAGATTGCTCCAAAAAGACTCCAAATATTTTTTTTGTGCCAAAGTATACATCAGGTAGATGAAAAGATAAAACATTATTCTTGCATCATATAACAGATAAGCTAACAAGGTGATCTTCCAACAAAATAGCATGAAAATTTCCCAATCTTTTATTAAACAACTAGTAAACTAACATGAGGATTCACTAAATTAATGAAAATGTCAAAAAATTACATCTAATAGCAAGGTTTTACTTCACACAGAAAGCTCAGAAATACCATGCTATGAGAGATTTCCTACAAACCTGTGTTAGAGTAAAACAGTGAAAGAGAAGTTCCATGTTATATGAGTGCTGCCTATATATGTTAAATTTTGAATATGAAATATAAATAATAATAAGTTGGATACTATGATAAGTCTAAGCAAAACTGTAACTCTCCTACAAGCAAACAATAATAATGGATTAGATCATTGGTGGGATAAAGCAATACATGGGTTAATTACCAAGGGAAACTTGCTCCTATTTATATGTTAGACAAATGAAGAAACCCAAAAAATGTATGTAGCTAGTACATAAATGAAGGCCTGAACATATGACAACTATCAGTTTTCAGTGGTGTTATCCACTCAACCAGTAATGGACCAACAAAAATAATTTACAAATGTGTTTAAATTTTTCTGAACTTGTAGCAAAACAAGTACATTTGCAATTGTTGTTGTTAAATTTTTCTTTTTACAAATAATGATACTGATTTAGTGAGGTAAAGGAATAAACGTTAGGATTAAAACATAATCCAATAAAAATTTTATTAACAATTTTCTTAAAACCTGATGCAAATTATATTAATTAATTTAATTTGCATTCACTATACTTTTACATTTTCTTCAAATAACATTAACTTATATCCACTTTAACAGCACAAAAGACATCATTTAAAGTTAATATAAACAAACTTTCCCTATTTGCATCTGACATTTTAAATTTATACAATGTCCTCTATAATTTGTGAAATCACCAATAATATTTAAAACCTCTGATTACAAACTCTAAATAAGCAAAGTTTTATAAGCGTATTGTTAACTTGTATGTTTTGATACATGTCAATTCTGATAACATTATAAAACTGAAAACAATATCCAAATGTTCTAATTTGGCAAGAATATGTATATTTCTTTTGATTAAAGTGTTTTTCTTAATTTAATATGCCTCAATGTCCTTAATTTAATCAAAATATTCTATCACCAGTACAGTGTGTATTTCTATTAATAGGACTTATTAAACTGATATATAAGTTTAATAAGCACTATTAATAGAAATACATACTGTACTGGTGATAGAAAGAATATTTTGTTTTTCTTAATGTTTATTAGTAAAAAATATACATAGCAATACCCATCTAACTTAAAAAAAATCAATATTAAGAAGACTTTTGCATACATTCTTGAAATTAAATTAAAAAACAATAATCTAACAGAAACTGACCTGATGGTAACTGTTGAGATGGTGGTGCTTGAGGTGGTGGTCCTGATGTATGTTGCTGATCTTCTGAAGGTAACTGTCCATACTGATGACTAGAAGTTTGTATTGTTGGAATTGGATGATGCTGCTGCTGAGCTGGTTGCTGAGGTTGATTTTGTTGTTGTTGTTGTTGTTGTTGTGGCTGCTGCTGTTGCTGTTGAGGTGGTTGCTGTTGTACCATATATGGAGGTTGCTGTTGTTGTTGTCCTGCCATTGGTGGAACCTGACTCTGTGATGGGAATTGATATGGGATTTGCTATGGTGTCGTGAGAAAAAAATTATTATTGGAATGAAAGTAAAAATAAATCACTTGGTTTTTCAAATTTACCTTCTTTCCATCAAATATAATCTAATTTTTGTTTCAGAAAATAAATCACATATATCTATGTAAATTATTCAAAATAATTTAATATTCTACATCAAATCAAAATGATTACTTAAGGTATATTCAAATGAAAAATCAATCAGATTCTTAATAATAAATAATGATTTAATATCAATTTATAAACAAATAATGATCTGTATCAATTATGATTTTTGTTTATAGAATATGTTTAAGATGCTATTACCTACAGAATAATCCAGTTTAAATAGCAAAACAATAAATAAAATATCTTATTTTTTCAAAGTTTTCAAGATTATTTTGAAGGATATTCCAGAATTCTTATTACACTATACTCAAGAATTTAAAATATCAAATATTCTCTTCAAAAATTTATTATTATTGTTTACCACTATAATACTCTGTGACAGGGTTTCTTGTAGATAAATAAGACAGATATTTAAGTACAAATTATTTTAGCACTGGTACATGCATGTACCAGTGCTAAAATAATTATTACATATAAAATAATTCATATACGTATATTATTAATAAGAATAAAAGTATAAAATCAAATAAGCTCATAATTAAGTAATCATGACAAATATTAAAAATAATTTCATTTGAATGTACCTTATAATGAAATGTAAAAAAATAAGACTCAATTCAATGGTAATATGATGATGATAATAATAAATATAATTATAATAATCTACATTAATTTTTTAAATTTAATTTAAAAAATTTATTATGATAACTATACTATAAATTTATGTATACAAACTGATAATAAATGAATTTATTATGGAAGATTTTTCTTAAAATTTTGCAAAAATAAGTTGTTACCATATAACTCCAACAAAACAGTTTATACAATTAAAGAAAAATTAAATAGAATGTAATTGTTTTAATATAATCATAAATTTAAATAATCACAATAAATAAATGTATGAAATAGGACTTGATTTTAATAATTGTAAAAATTTATTTTTATTACATTTAATAAACAAAACTGAATCTAATGAATCTAACATAAATTATCAAAGTGCTTGACTCATATCAAATTTCAAACAATTATTTGAACTTTATTATTCAAGTTTATGAAATCAATGAAATTTTATAAGAAAATTTTAAATAATCTTCCTTTTACTGCTTTATTAATATTTTCTTCAATATTATTTCAAAATATATTAATTTATTACTTTTGCTTGATAAAGAAAATATCTTTTATTAATATTTAATTGGATAGAGTAAAAAAAATACATATACAGTAGAGCGTCGTTTATCCGAAAGCTGGTTATCCGAAACGTCCATTATCCGAAAGCATTCCAGTCGGCAAATTTAAATTTTCGCTAGTGCTGTGGCGCTGTAATCTTTGGCTATGTCTTCGGCTACTCAAATATTTTACGTTTTTTATACTAAATTAACATCTGAAGTATAATTTTTTATTATTTTTATATTTTTCAATAAATTTATTTTGTTTGTACAAAATAAAAAAATAATTTTTAACGATACAATAGTCTTTGTTAGGCTTAACATCGACGAAAATTCAACGCGAAGCGACACGCAACGGAGAGAAATTTCAACATGGGATAAATTAATATATTTTTTCGTACATGATTCGTTATCCGAAAAATAAGTTATCCGAACCACTCCAGTCCCCAATTGATTCGGATAAACGACGCTCTACTGTATTACTTAATAAATACTTATATGGTCTAAAAAATTTTCATCTCAAAATATTTTCAATAACTTTCAATTCTTTTCTTGTTTATATATTGTAGAATCAAATTTTTAAAATAAATCTATATGTATAAAATTGCTTGTCCTGACTGATTCACTGATTCATCATCGCCCAGAGAAAACCGCTGAACCTAGAGGTGAAATTTGGTACACAGTTAGGGTACATCATGAAAACGCACACTAAGAAAGGATTTTTCGAAATTCCCCTGCAGAGAAGTGAGGGAGAGGATTAAGGCTTAACTGGAAAAATGGCTTCTACTGTACTGTTTTACATGTGATTTTTTGTTACATTTAGTCTTCATTAAGTACTTAAGTGTATTAAATTAATAACATTTCAGACATTGTTATAAATATTTTTATATATTTCGATTTTTTAACCAGATGTTCAAACCTTTTTAAATTAGAATTTGTTATTGCATATTGGTTCGATTATAAAACGATTGTAAACGTTTCAGAAAATTGATCAAACTGAAAACAGTTCATTTGATTCTCAGCAATTCTCATCATTCTCAGCAGTAGGTGTTATATAACAATTACTATGGTTGTTGAAATACTGAATATAAATGGGGTTTGCTTGCAAAACCTCCACGGGCAAAGTCGCGGGAAACAGCTAGTTATGTACTGTATATAATATAATGTGATTGAGGTTGCTATGGTAATAAAATATTTAAAAATTTTTCTTTATATTCAAATGTTTTGGAATGTTTTATAATTTTATCAAATTAAATTTTATTAAAATAATTACAAGAAATGATATTTGAAGTTTAAACTTGAGGTTTCATAATTTGAGAAACAGTGACTGTATACACAAATCTTTATGACAGATTATTATATTAAAAACATATTCCTAAATTTTTCATCTGAGCTTTCATAAAATTATTTATACAGTACTAACAGTTTTTTATGAACTTAATGTACTAATTTCAGTATCTAAACTTCCAAAATTTGAAATGAGTGAAATTATATAGAAATATAAAGTTATATTAACAGAACCAATTATAGTATTTTTGTTTTATAATTTTGTATTGTATTATAATTTGATTAAACTTATTCAGCAAAATGTTAATTATGCAATGATCATAAAATAAAGAAAATTATCATAAATTTATTCCACAATCTAGCTTATTCATTTTAATTTGCATCTCACTATTTGTCTCTAATGATTGTGTTTATTAATGACATATTTAAAAATAAGACATGATAAAATGATTTTTTAAATTTCACATTAAAACTTAATAAAATATCAATTTACAATTTTTGATCTATGATCAATTCATAAAATGAAGTTTTAATTAAATATATGTTATAAAACTATATTAAATTATGCTAATTGTAAGATGCATTATTATTGATTCTAATCTAACAACACAATATCAGTAAGTATAATTCATTATCAAATGATTTAAAATAATTTTTATGAAAGTTAGATTACAAATCGAAATATAATTAGCATATATTTAATTAGTACAATGAACAAAGTCATGATAACAAGAGAAACCTGTCCCATTTTCAGTATAAAACAATGATTTAATTTTCTATTTTACAATTAATTTTTTAAATTTTGTAATTTCACACAGAAATTTTTGATATAATGTGCAAGCAATATGACTAATTTAATTTAATAAATATATTCAGTATAATTACTACTTTATGTTGTTTTCACTACAATGATTTTTAACATTGTCTTCATTGAATACTTTAGTTTTCTGAAGTTTTAACTCATTAAATACAACATACATTTCCTTAAATGTTTAAAATTTTACCTATTTAAATTAAGGTTTACTTATCATTTGATAAAGTACATACAAATATGTATTTCAAAATTAAACAACTTACTTGTATTTGCTGTAATTGTGATGTAAGATGTGCAATGAAATCCTGATGCTGTTTCTGTAACTGAGCAAACTGATTCTGGATGGCAGTTGTAATTGGTGTTATATTATTGGCATGCTCAGTGATAAGACTTGCCTAAAACATATATAAAATATAATCATCATATTATGTTTTGAATATATATTCTTTAAAACTAATAATTATTATTTTACAAATGACAACATTAACTATTTAAATAACTAAGCATTAAATTATTTCCAAACTAAAGAAATTTTACATGTAATAATCTTGAAAAGTTTGAATGATTTAGTAATAACTTTTCAGTAAATAAATATAAGAAGAAATATCAGAAAGTAAGTGTCTTACTTTATTCTCAAGAAAATGAAACCTGAAGTATGCTGTGATTTCACTTAGTAACTTAACTCCTTCAGATTGCAAAAGCATTTACCTAATGCAAGATGTAATCCATCCAAACATGATGAACATGGGATCCATCTTGGATCACATATTCAGACTACAGTGGTACCTCAGGATACGAAATTAATCCGTTCCGAAACTGAGATCGTATCATGAAAATGTCATAAGGTGAATCATTTTTCCCCATATGATTACATGTAAAACCAAATAATTCGTTCCAACACGAAAAACACACTCAAATTAAAGCTAAGTAGTACATTAAAAAAAATAACTATAGTAAGGAAAACACTGAAAAATGCATTTTGTAGTTGTAAATGTATAAATAACCATAATAGAATAATAATTGATTTAAAAAATGCGGTTTTATTTGCACTTTACATTTGAGGATAGACGACGGTGGAGGTGTAAACTGGTGGAGGAAGAGAGGGAGAAGGGAAATGATACTAAAACTTAACTTACATAACATAATGTAACAATAACTTAAAAATAACTTAACACTAATTTTTTTATCTTTTCTGTTTTATATATATTTTTTNTTATTTATACAGTACTAACAGTTTTTTATGAACTTAATGTACTAATTTCAGTATCTAAACTTCCAAAATTTGAAATGAGTGAAATTATATAGAAATATAAAGTTATATTAACAGAACCAATTATAGTATTTTTGTTTTATAATTTTGTATTGTATTATAATTTGATTAAACTTATTCAGCAAAATGTTAATTATGCAATGATCATAAAATAAAGAAAATTATCATAAATTTATTCCACAATCTAGCTTATTCATTTTAATTTGCATCTCACTATTTGTCTCTAATGATTGTGTTTATTAATGACATATTTAAAAATAAGACATGATAAAATGATTTTTTAAATTTCACATTAAAACTTAATAAAATATCAATTTACAATTTTTGATCTATGATCAATTCATAAAATGAAGTTTTAATTAAATATATGTTATAAAAGTATATTAAATTATGCTAATTGTAAGATGCATTATTATTGATTCTAATCTAACAACACAATATCAGTAAGTATAATTCATTATCAAATGATTTAAAATAATTTTTATGAAAGTTAGATTACAAATCGAAATATAATTAGCATATATTTAATTAGTACAATGAACAAAGTCATGATAACAAGACAAACCTGTCCCATTTTCAGTATAAAACAATGATTTAATTTTCTATTTTACAATTAATTTTTTAAATTTTGTAATTTCACACAGAAATTTTTGATATAATGTGCAAGCAATATGACTAATTTAATTTAATAAATATATTCAGTATAATTACTACTTTATGTTGTTTTCACTACAATGATTTTTAACATTGTCTTCATTGAATACTTTAGTTTTTTGAAGTTTTAACTCATTAAATACAACATACATTTCCTTAAATGTTTAAAATTTTACCTATTTAAATTAAGGTTTACTTATCATTTGATAAAGTACATACAAATATGTATTTCAAAATTAAACAACTTACTTGTATTTGCTGTAATTGTGATGTAAGATGTGCAATGAAATCCTGATGCTGTTTCTGTAACTGAGCAAACTGATTCTGGATGGCAGTTGTAATTGGTGTTATATTATTGGCATGCTCAGTGATAAGACTTGCCTAAAACATATATAAAATATAATCATCATATTATGTTTTGAATATATATTCTTTAAAACTAATAATTATTATTTTACAAATGACAACATTAACTATTTAAATAACTAAGCATTAAATTATTTCCAAACTAAAGAAATTTTACATGTAATAATCTTGAAAAGTTTGAATGATTTAGTAATAACTTTTCAGTAAATAAATATAAGAAGGAATATCAGAAAGTAAGTGTCTTACTTTATTCTCAAGAAAATGAAACCTGAAGTATGATCAAATTAAATTTTATTAAAATAATTACAAGAAATGATATTTGAAGTTTAAACTTGAGGTTTCATAATTTGAGAAACAGTGACTGTATACACAAATCTTTATGACAGATTATTATATTAAAAACATATTCCTAAATTTTTCATCTGAGCTTTCATAAAATTATTTATACAGTACTAACAGTTTTTTATGAACTTAATGTACTAATTTCAGTATCTAAACTTCCAAAATTTGAAATGAGTGAAATTATATAGAAATATAAAGTTATATTAACAGAACCAATTATAGTATTTTTGTTTTATAATTTTGTATTGTATTATAATTTGATTAAACTTATTCAGCAAAATGTTAATTATGCAATGATCATAAAATAAAGAAAATTATCATAAATTTATTCCACAATCTAGCTTATTCATTTTAATTTGCATCTCACTATTTGTCTCTAATGATTGTGTTTATTAATGACATATTTAAAAATAAGACATGATAAAATGATTTTTTAAATTTCACATTAAAACTTAATAAAATATCAATTTACAATTTTTGATCTATGATCAATTCATAAAATGAAGTTTTAATTAAATATATGTTATAAAACTATATTAAATTATGCTAATTGTAAGATGCATTATTATTGATTCTAATCTAACAACACAATATCAGTAAGTATAATTCATTATCAAATGATTTAAAATAATTTTTATGAAAGTTAGATTACAAATCGAAATATAATTAGCATATATTTAATTAGTACAATGAACAAAGTCATGATAACAAGACAAACCTGTCCCATTTTCAGTATAAAACAATGATTTAATTTTCTATTTTACAATTAATTTTTTAAATTTTGTAATTTCACACAGAAATTTTTGATATAATGTGCAAGCAATATGACTAATTTAATTTAATAAATATATTCAGTATAATTACTACTTTATGTTGTTTTCACTACAATGATTTTTAACATTGTCTTCATTGAATACTTTAGTTTTCTGAAGTTTTAACTCATTAAATACAACATACATTTCCTTAAATGTTTAAAATTTTACCTATTTAAATTAAGGTTTACTTATCATTTGATAAAGTACATACAAATATGTATTTCAAAATTAAACAACTTACTTGTATTTGCTGTAATTGTGATGTAAGATGTGCAATGAAATCCTGATGCTGTTTCTGTAACTGAGCAAACTGATTCTGGATGGCAGTTGTAATTGGTGTTATATTATTGGCATGCTCAGTGATAAGACTTGCCTAAAACATATATAAAATATAATCATCATATTATGTTTTGAATATATATTCTTTAAAACTAATAATTATTATTTTACAAATGACAACATTAACTATTTAAATAACTAAGCATTAAATTATTTCCAAACTAAAGAAATTTTACATGTAATAATCTTGAAAAGTTTGAATGATTTAGTAATAACTTTTCAGTAAATAAATATAAGAAGAAATATCAGAAAGTAAGTGTCTTACTTTATTCTCAAGAAAATGAAACCTGAAGTATGCTGTGATTTCACTTAGTAACTTAACTCCTTCAGATTGCAAAAGCATTTACCTAATGCAAGATGTAATCCATCCAAACATGATGAACATGGGATCCATCTTGGATCACATATTCAGACTACAGTGGTACCTCAGGATACGAAATTAATCCGTTCCGAAACTGAGATCGTATCATGAAAATGTCATAAGGTGAATCATTTTTCCCCATATGATTACATGTAAAACCAAATAATTCGTTCCAACACGAAAAACACACTCAAATTAAAGCTAAGTAGTACATTAAAAAAAATAACTATAGTAAGGAAAACACTGAAAAATGCATTTTGTAGTTGTAAATGTATAAATAACCATAATAGAATAATAATTGATTAAAAAAAATGTAGTTTTATTTGCACTTTACCTTTGAGGATAGACGACGGTGGAGGTGTAAACTGGTGGCGGAAGAGAGGGAGAAGGGAAATGATACTAAAACTTAACTTACATAACATAATGTAACAATAACTTAAAAATAACTTAGAAAAGATAAAAAAAAATTACTGTTGTTTTATAGATATATATTTTTTAAAATTTTTATTCACTACTTTTTGCTTTCTTTCCTTCACTTCCACCAGCACTTTCACTGGATAGAGGTTGCTTGGTAAAATATCTATCCAAAGAGGTTTGGCTTTGCCTTTTTAAAATGTTTCTAAAATGACTTAGGCAAATGTCATTACTCCGAGCAGCAATACGGCCAGTGTAAACCTTTTTGAGATGTTTCTTTTCAATAAAATCAGTCACTTTCTATAATACCTCAAGATTTCCTTTATTGAGCGAGATCCTTCCACGATGAAGCAAACACGCGGACTGAGACCGATGAACAGAAGTGAATAAAAAATGGCGCTGCGAACTAATGTAACGTCGTATGGTGAGTTTTTGTTCGTATCGTGGAGCAAATATATGTTCAAATTTCATGTCGTATCCTGAAAATTTCGTATGATGGGGCGTTCGTATCCCGAGGTACCACTGTATGTCAAATTAGGAATGGAAATAATCATTGTAATTGTTTATCAGTCTATTTTGATGAAATTTAAGGATGCTGTTTATCACAAGAGGATTAGATTGTTGGCAAAGAAAGAGCTGCTTAGTTGTACATTGCTCATAGCATTAGATTTCTTAAATATTTAGCATTAAGAAATTCTTTCCCACCTTACTTATACTTAATCCTAATTTGGTATGATTACTTTGAGAACAGGTGAAAGTCCAAAAAAACATCTTTGAAAAGTATGCTTCTATTCTGATGAAAGTAAGCCTAATTTCTAATTGGCTATCTTCATTAGAAGATATCTAAGATGAAATATGATATAAGCTTCAACTGCAGAAACATCTTTCTATCTCCAAATTTTAGATTCTTTGATATACTCTTATAATATAAGCATGATAAATATCAAAAGAAATAACAAATATCTGCTTATATATATACACACACACTGTATTCCATGTTTCTGCATTATGAAAATTTTATTTTTTGATTTCATATATAACTTTCTTATGTAATGTTCATGTTTCAATCCCATTCCAATTCATATCTGATATATTCTAAATTTCTAAAATCAATATTTCTGTTTTTAATTTCTAAAATTTCCATTTTCTCTACTCTGAATTTATTTTAAGTTTTGTTATAATTTTACATTAAGTCCCAGAATATTACAAATCACTCTTTTGTAAATTATTAAATCTGATTTGTCCCAGAATATTTTGAAACAGTTTTTGAAATATTTTTGGAAAATAGATATAGATATACTATTTTATTCAAATTCAAGCAAGAAACTTAATATTTAAAAAATAAGTTTAATGAATATTTGATTTTATAAAAAGCTATACAGTTCAAGAGAAGTAATACCTATCAAGAAAAAAATTTTAAAAATATTTTTTGGTACATGTAAATGGTATGTACTCGAATTTTTGTTTTGAATTTCCTGACTTTCCCTGACCAATTTTGTCCAAATTCCAACCCTCACATTTCTTACAATGTGGAATATCGACATAATAAAACAGCATTTTATTTACTGTGAACATCGAGTACATCTATCCCTCTTTTTGCACAGTTGATATGTTTCAAAGACATTAAAAAAATACAGTACATACATCCTGTAGAAAAATGTTTGATAGAATCCACAACTTCAATGTAATGAAAAAAATAAGCAATTTACAAATGAGACATAAGCTTTTTATTTTATCATCACTTATCATTATTATTTGTACATAAATCTAGTAAACACAAGGTAGCAAAAAAGCAACAAACAGTATTCTTTAATATACAAATAGTACTGTACTGTGCTTAAAATAAACTCTTGACTTAGAAATACATAATTTTAAAACCAATCTTTCAACAAAAAGAGTAACTTTTTTTTTTAAAAACAGCAACATAATTTTAACAAAAAGTTAAATTTAAAAATTTTCAAATAAAGCATTTTTCCCTCGTAAAAAAATTATGTAAAAAAGAATTAGTTTTCTTTTGTCAACCACATTATTTCAAAATTGTGTAAAAATAGATTGTATATAAAGAGGGATAGGTGTAAGTTTATACCAGGGATATCCAACCCGCAGCCCACTTAATATTTTTATGTGGCCCACTGCACCCTAAAATTTTTTAGGTATGTTTTCATTTATTTTGGTAAAGTATGTTGTAAAACTTTTCTCGTTTCACTAAATGCATTTTGATATCATAATGATGTAACTGGTGTTAGAAAACTGTTATATCTAGAGAACTGTTATGCATGTAGATGTAGTACAGCACATACTGTTGTGAACAATTCTTTTTGTGCATGAAAACATCAAAACTGCTGAAAGAAATAAGTTGAGTGATTCCCATTTAACTAACATTCTTAGAATTAAGACAAGTACCATAAAAGTAGATATTGACAATATTATAAAAGGAAGGCAATGTCAAAAATCACACTGAATTTATTTTTATTTTGTGTGAGTATAATTTCTTTTTATACTGTCAATAATACAGTATTTTTTATAATAATATATATTTGTTATTAAAATTTGATATTCACATTTTGAACTTTTTAAAAGCATATATTTATATAAAGTACCTTTGTGGTCCACTAAATATACTTAAATTTCTAATTTGGCCCATTAGGAAAAAAGATTGGACAACCTTGGTTTATACTACAGCTTCTCTAACAAATGCGTCTAATTTATTGTAAAATCTTTTTATTTTTTTACGAAACAGACAATCAAAATACAGAGAAGCTTCTTAGTATTAATTCTCCTTCTTCAAAATACAGATAATTAGAAAATAAAAAATTAATTACAATTCACAAAACACAAGAACTATTATATTAACGAAGTTTTATTTCAAGTGTGTTTATTTTCATTTCAATCTCTTTTTCTTCCTTTTCATTATCTTTTCTTAACATTTTCTTGTATTGTTTTAAATCCTTAAGTTGTGTAAGTTTTCTTTTTTCTTCAGCCCTCAATGCCTGCTGCTTCTGAATGTCTTTTTTCTGTTGCAGAGATGCAATATATTGCTATCTAGATCCTCTGACTGTTAACAACTGTTAATACCACTTGCAAAATGGATCCCATCATAAACTAAGCATTGAGCAACTAAACTTTCTTCCTTAAGATTTCCACTCAGCAGTGATTTGTTAACCAAAAAACCACTCTCAACACTTGCATTACCATGTGAGAAAGAAAGAGAAATTTTAATTATAGACCATATCTTGCAGTTGCCTATCATCCTTCATAATTTCACAATAAAATATGTCCAGATGATCATCATCACTCCTTTCAGATATGAAGTCCTCAAACTTTGTAGAATAGGGTTTTATGGACACTTTATTGTAGAGTATATAATACTGTTCTTTTGTTTTGACAGCACATTTCACATCAATCCTGTTTGTATCATGTAGAACCTCCAGTAAAACATTGAAATACAATTTTCCAACATTTGATTGCACTTTAATAATTTCTGGGTCTAAGCTGCTCAAAGCCTTCACACATTTGTATTTGACAGGTTCCTTCTCAATAATCTTTTGTGTCATCACTTTCAGCACATTTTGACACTCTCTTAGAAAACACAGAGTATCTTTGTCGCTTACTTTCAATTCTTTTAAAACTTTTTTGCTCAAAAACCAATATCCAAATTCTTCAGATGTACCAAGTTTTCATTAGCATTTAAATCTATTTTTAGAAAGTTCTTGTTGATGACCCTGTCATTTTTCACAAACTTTCTCATCAGGTTCATTAATAATTGAACAACTGCTTTATAAAGATAGGGTGCAAGAGGTTTGTTGCTCTGAAATTGGATGAGAAAGCTCTCACTTTGTGTACATATTGACCAAAAAAATAAAAGTTTAACTTTAATAAAGGGATCATTGAGTGCCTGTCTGAAGAATATAGCCACCTTACTGTCTTTCAACTTTTTACTGTTGTTTATGTATGTCTTCAATGTCTTCACAGATTCAACAACTTCTGCTGCACATTCCAAGCATTCGCCATTCTCCAACCACCTTGTTGAACCAAACTTTTTGGGAAATAATCTGCTTTCACTTATAGCAATGTATTCAGCATGCCAAGTGGGTGAGTCTTTTAGCAAATAGTACAAATTCCATAGCAGTGGTAACAAATTCCAATCTACTACTTTAAAACCAGCTTTTATAGCACTATGGACTACATGTAAACCACACATTCCCATTCTCACAAATGATTTACCAACATTCTGTATCTCAATGTGATCAAGATCATTTGCTAGATCAAGATGAATGTCTGATGTCTGAAAGAGAAGATCATATGCTGTACTATGATCCAGAAAAACACTATTTAAATATCTGGTCATAACCTTATCTTTACTCTTGTCCCAGTATTTTATTACAAGATCCATTTGAATTCTTTGAGCAACTTTGTTTAGTGATTCGTCAAAGGCAATAGTAATATTATCACAACTTGTAACAGCATCAATCAATTTTTTTCTGAAATAATGGGCTAGGCCATAATTTATTATATAGGAAGCTTTATCTGGACCCAATTGAAATTGTCTGGCTATAGCAGTGTCAAAGAACATATTTTTGAAAATGTTAATAATATCAGAGCGTGAATTGAGTGACATCTTTTTCTTTACAACTGCCAATGCCCAATTTATCTCTGCTTTTATTACATCATTTATCACAAAATGTGTCAATGTGCTGCTAAGAAATGTTGATTTGGTAAGAGACTGTTCATAAGTGATCTTAGATCTATCTTCCACAACAGAAGTCATTTCACACACATTTTGTTGATTATTAGAAGAGTTTGAATTTCTTGGGGTTAAAAACCTCAGTGAAGTTTGTTCCAACTTCAATCTTTTTATTTCAACATGATTAGAACTATTTGCATGTGATACTAATGCACACTTTCCCTTATTACTTAATGAGAAAACTTTACAACAAATGCAGCAAAATGCTTTTGTATCATCATCTTTTACAGTTCCTAACCAGGAATTGAATTCTGGATGAATAGCTGGATCCAGTTATTGGAGGCTTCTTTTCTATTATACATTCTTAAATTATAATGGCATGGAAACAAACCTCGTTTGTTTCTGTGACATTATAATTTAAGAATGTAGAAAAACACAAACCTTGAATAATAATATTAAAAAACAGATGAACCAGATCAGATAGCAATGTGTAAGACTTGTTTTGTCACAACACTACATAAATATTCCAATTCGCATATGCATATGTATACTGTATTAATTAAAAGTAGTGTTACCAACTCAAAATTCAAATTTACAGCTAGACATTTTAATAAAAATACTAAAATCATATTGTTTCCATTACAATTGTTTGATTTTTTTTAGCTAGATTGTTCATAAATCCACTAAATTTAGGAAAAAAATTAGCTGGATTGGCAACTCACTGAAAGAAAAAAATTGCCGCCATTTTGATTTTGGTTTCGTTGTAAAGGCCAGAGTTCTAATAATTAATTATTTTTAATAATTTTTATTTATTATTTATTTAATTTTGCATTAAATTTTCTTAAGAATGCAAACAAAATTTATTTAGTTTAACCCTTAATTACAATTCTTATTGCAAATCATATCACAAACCATCTTTCTCGCTTTTATAGCAAATTTTAATTCAATGAACTAATATTTTCAGCCATCTTAAATAGCCTTCCTCAGGTTTAACATAATTTCAAATGTCAATTAGAACAAAAGATTTGAAACTCAGAGTTTCACTTGTATGAGATATGACGAACTCTTTTCCTTTATTTTCCCAAAGGAAATAAAGTTAATTCTCCCAACATCAAGAAAGTCGAGGGACTAATAAGTATGTGGGAAATGTGGTACAGATGGATGAAGACACCTCTTTACCATTTAACCAGTTTATTGTACAACTATGCTTACAATATAATTAAAGTTGTCTTAATTTATCATTTTAAGTTTGTAGCAGCATTGGTGGAATCCAAAGCAATGTTCAGTGAACGATCCAGAAAGAAAAGTTCATTTGATTTTCTTCCGATGTCTAGCACTAACATAAACCACTTGTGTTTGTCCTTAGTTGGAAAGGTCCTTATTTTGAATGGCAACAGTTAAGATGTAAAAGGAAAAGGCAGCAGTGATAGTGAAATAGCAGAGATGAAGTGCGGGGAAAATGCAAATGACTGGAGGTGATTGGTGGCAATGGCTATGGAAGAGATGACTCTTGATAGCCTCATGTCCTCGAGATACTGGCTTTTATCACCTTCCTGTCCCTCAATTGTTCCCTGGATTGGTTTCGGACCCTCACCCACGCTTTATGATGGGGATCTAATTGATTCTCAAATTTACTTACGTCAGTCAAAGAATCAAAGTTTACAGGAGAAATCATCATTGTCTTTTCAAACAATGGAAAATGACTCCAATCCAAATGATCAATCTTGGGAGCAGCACTGTCTAGACTATTTCTCAAGTTTCTATAAAAAATTTTTGTTCATTCTTTTTCACTTTAATAATTAAATTATTTTACATTTTTCTATTTTAGTGTTCCAAGACAATTCCGGAACCTCACACTTGTATTCCTATGATGTCATAGTATTATGAAAATTGGGATTCTTAAAACTTATAGAATTTAAATAAAATAAAATAAATACAGAAATAAACATCAAATAAAATTACAATTATATATTAATAAAATATAGAAGTTCAGTGCATAGAATCACAACTATACCAGGGCTGTTCGGAAAGTTTGCGGCCTCACATAGAAAAACAAACAAAATAATGTTAAAACTTTTTTTATTTTTCAATGTAATCTCCTCTGTTAGCAATGCACTTATTCCAGCGATGTTCTAGCTTTTTTATGCCATCACAATAGGTCGATTTGTCAAGGTGTGCAAAATACTCATTCACTTCAGAGATGACTTCGTCATTTGAGTGGAATCTCTTTCCAGCCAAGAATTTTTTTAGGTTTGGAAAAAGGTGGAAGTCACTGGGGGCCAAATCAGGTGAGTACGGTGGATGTGGAACTAATTGGAAGCGAAGTTCGTTTATCTTTTGTTCAGTGATTCTGGCGGAATGTGCAGGTGCATTATCGTGGTGGAACAGAACTTTTTTCTTCTTCAAGTGTGGCCTCTTTTCTTCGATTTCTTTCTTCAGTTTTTCCAAAAGTTCACAGTAATAGACAGCATTAATGGTCTTTCCTCTTTCTAGGTAGTCAATAAAGATGATGCCTTTAGCATCCCAAAAAACCGAGGCCATCACTTTACCCGCTGATGGAACTGTCTTTGCCTTCTTTGGTGGTGGCGAACTGTGGTGTTTCCATTGCTTCGACTGTTCTTTTGTTTCAGGAGTGTAGTAATGGATCCACGTTTCGTCAGTAGTCACAAACCGACGCAAGAAATCCTGTGGGTTTTTCTGGTAGAAGTCCAAACACTCCTTTGACATCAAAGTGCGAACACGTTTTTGCTCGGCGGTCAGCAGATGCGGCACCCACCTTGCTGAGACCTTCGTCATACCCAAATCTTCGGTTAGGATGTGGTGCACTCGGTCGACAGAGATGCCTGTTGTCTCAGCTATCTCACGCGTTTTCAAACGGCGATCTGCTAATACCAAATCGTGAACTTTGTCGATGTTTTCTTCAGTGACAGCAGTTGACGGCCGTCCGCTGCGAGGGTCATCTTCCACACTTTCTCTGCCAGATTTAAAAAGGGCTGTCCATTTTTTCACAGTGGTGTACGAAGGAGCAGACTCTCCTAAAACTTCATCCATGTCAGCTTTGATTTGAGATGGGGTCAACCCTTTTTTCGTCAGGTATTTTATGACCGCACGAGTCTCCGTCTTCTCCATTTTTGACAAAGCATGTGCACACTGACTATCTGTTAAGCTGTCGTGGCAAAACTTTTTGACAAATCAAGCGGAAATTGGTATCGTATCTTTAGCAAGGATGGCTGAATTATTCCCGCCAAAAATTAAATTGATCGCAGCGCCGCATATAGGCAAGGCCGCGAACTTTCCGAACAGCCCTCGTATATCTCTTTCTTTTGCAACATAACTATAAAAGTTGTTTTGTTGTTGTTTTACACAAAAGATATCAAATTTATTTTAATTTTTTAGTAATTTAATTAAATTTTTAAAATTTACAAGCTTTTTAAAATTTTAATTATAAGCAAGTTAACATTGGTTAAACTATCGGATTACCTAACTGATTTTCAAAACTATAATTACAATATATCTATTACAGGTATGATCAAAGTTGCCAGTTTTTAAGCCCTAAATTTGCCAAAATCAGTGATATTTGTTACCCACATTATTTCTGTTAAACTAATTATTAAACTATGTATTGAAGTTGTGGAAATTAACAGAAGAGAGGGGAAAAATATGCTTGAAGTACGGTACTTTCAAAGAAAATCGTAACAACAAATATAAAAAGCTTGTGCCAACCACAAGTCAGCTCCAGCATTTTACTGTAAATATTGGGTAACTATTTATAATTTTTTATGTTGTGTAGTAATGTTTTAAATGTGAAAAATTATTAAATTACAGATTTTTACTGATCTATTTAGCTATTTTGAAGTGAACATTCTAATAAACTGCGATTTCAACTTTTAAAAGTTTGAANTTTTGTTATATATTTTATGTAATATTTTTAAAAATTGTATCTTTTAGTTGACTGATGAGGGGCTTTATGTATGAAACGTGCTGTTGTCACGTATCAACTAAAAAGTGATGGAAATAAAGTCAAATGTTTATTTATAACTCACATTTGAGTTTGAAGTCCAATATATTTGCAAAACACGGTTTCAAAAACAACATATTTATAATTTTTTATGTTGTGTAGTAATGTTTTAAACGTGAAAAATGATTAAATTACAGATTTTTACTGATCTATTTAGCTATTTTGAAGTGAACATTCTAATAAATTACAATTTCAACTTTTAAAAGTTTGCAAACAAATTTTTAGTTATTTTTTATTCTAATTAACAATTTCATCTTTTTATAATTGCTGAATTATTAAAATAAAAAATTAAACACTATTGCATAAAAGTAGTTTATCCTGTTTTAATCCACAACTGTAAAATTATATGGCTTTAGAATGGAGAAAAAAGCCATTTCAAAATGGATTCTGGTATATTTTCTTATTAAAGATTGCAGCATTAAATTTTTGCCACCTGCAGATGGCTATGCTTGGTCAGCCATATTCAGTAAACAAAATCAACAAGACAATTAAGGAGACAAATTCCGACTTTCTGTGTCTTTTTCCGAACACTAATGAAAATCCCTGACTTTCCAGGTGCATAGGAACCCTGTACATGTTATATATAATTATTGTATATTACAGACATATAAAAAGAAAAACAAGATCTTTTTTTTGATTTAAAATATTAATCAAATAATTGCAAAAAGAAGTAAAATTTCTTTATTTTAATGTTTTAGCTGAAATAGTTTTCTTATACAATTTTATAAAATTTTTCATTTTCTTTATAATTAAGCTTATCGAAAAAGATGTTCTAATCAGTTCTGTTTCAAATATGTTCTGATGATGATATAATCAATGAAAGAAATAAATATCATCAAAAATATGTCTCACTAAATATTAAGCAAAAATCAGAGAATTTTCAGTTTAAACATTTAATTTTTTCTTATATTACAGTAGAGCATTGATAATCCAAAACAATTCGGGACTGGGGTTGTTCGGATAACTGATCATTTACAAAAAAATATATTAAACACAAAACTGTACTGTATATAATTTGTATCACACATCTTACAAATTTGAAGATGTGTGATCATGTCATACCTTACATAATGTAATACATTAAACTAGCCTATAGTTCAGTTTGGGAGGGAGGGGAAGAGTGCTGCAACACCACAGCCCTAGCGAAAATTTGAATTTGCTGACTGGAATGCTTTCAGTTAACTGATGTTTTGGTTGATCGGTATTCGGATAATCAATTTTCTATACTATAATATAATATAGAACACGGGTTCCCAACCTATGGGTCGCGACCCAGAAGGGGGTCGCGACGGGCTTTCTGTAGGGTCGCCAACTTATACAGTTAACTAAAAAAAATGTTCATTATAATGCAATTTTTATTTTTAATGGTGTCTTGAACTTTGAATAATTTGATATACAGTCGACCCCCCTATAACACGGGTTCCTATAGTTCGGATTCCTATATGACGGCGAAAAAATTGCGACGGTATCCGTACAAACATGGTAAAAAAAACTCCTATAATTCGGTAAAAC